CCTCTGTTTTAGTCGTTATCGCTAAAGTAATAGTGACATTCAACGAAAATCTCATCAAAGTAACATTTACTTTTTTTTTTCTTTTTCCTGTTATCAAACTCCCTTCCTTAATTGCCTGTGAAATCTAAATTGTACACCATTTATATTTTCTAGACGAGGTGATGGCATTGTTGGAAGATGGCACGAATTTGACGCCAGTCCATATCTCAGACAGTTTCAACACCAAATGGCGTGAAATTGGTGGACACGCCGAAAAGGCGCGTCGACGTCGGGCACGAGAGGATGACGAGGAGGCCAAGGTTGGTGTGGATTTCAACCATTCAAATATTTCAAACTTCTATATCTATTTATCTGTTTTGTTTTAAACTTGAAGAAGACAAGTAATCTACTGAAAATTACAGAAAATTACAGTTTTCCTCCAAAAATTTTCAACGTGCATGGTTCTAAACAGTTAACATTTCGGACAGAAGGCTTGGAAAAGACTTTATTTCATTTAACCATTGTTCTTGGAAGAAAATCTTTTAGAAGCCTGGAAGTAATATCTTATTGTTTTAAAGAATGAGCCTAATCTGGAGTTGTAAATCCCAAAATATGACTTACACTCATCAATTGTACGGTTTTTGGGTTTTCGGATCAATAACGAGAATGAAATTCAGGATACTCCACTGGGTAATACTCCAGTGGCTACATGTAACGCCCACATTATTCCCCATTACCCTTTTCCAGTAGTTCAGCTTTAAGGCATGGAGAACCAATTTTTTTAACAAATTTACATTAAAAGTAGGAGTTTCATCGCTGAATTTCTCTCAAATCAATAACTTTAGGGAAGTTTACCAAATAACAACACTGAGTGTAGAATGATATGTCTTGCTGGGAAAAAGCCATTTCTGTATCGCCTTATTCGCTTTTTCAAATGTTTATGTCTGCCATTCCTCCCCAATAAAGTCGTCCTTTTATAGCATTCGTGTGACGCATCATCTGAAGATTCATCGGATTGGGAATCGCGCGACGATCGGCTTATGATGAGGTGGGATTTGATTATTTCGTTTTGACTCAAAGCTATGTAAACTGTACCAA